TATATACATGTATAAATGAATTAATATCTTATGCGAAACTACTCGTAACATAGTTCGAAAAAACAGTGATAAGGATTAAATGGTTTTTTAATATTAAACGATCTATAATTTATGTGCACATATTTTCAGGAGATAAATTTGTTTCAAATAACATTTACATATTTAGGTTACATTTTTAATAATAATTTAAGATAAAAATTGTTTTTTTGCAATTAAAATTATATATTAACTTTTTAGTATTTTTCAAATTTACACATTTAAAACTTACTGTAAATTATTATAAATAGATTTAAGTAAATAAAGAAAAAACTTGAATACCGAATGTACGATTGTTTTATTTTTATTGAATTATAAATATTGATACTACTTTGATTGTAAACAAATTTTAAATAGTATTTTTAAATACTTTTAATGAATAAGTATTTTTAATTAATTTTAATGAAACGAATGTAAATCATTTATCAATTTAAGAACTAAATTTATTATAATATCAAGTAATAAAAATTACTGTGATAGTCAAGTACTTTCTATTGAAATATTTTATGATAAATTCAGGTTTTATTTGCAGATTTTGAATAACTGTGACTCATAGATTTTAATAAATCTTTTATTTTGAAAAATTATAAATTTATAAACAAATTTATAAATAAGAGATACAATACTTTCTTAGCATTTTATTCTAATAGCAAAGTCAAGTTCTTAAAATAATTATTCCATTATAATCACAGAGTATTATTTAATATATATAGCATTTTATTGATATATACTACTTTTTACAACATTTTTCTTTAATATTGAAAATTTTATACAGTAATATTGCATTGATGCTCATGTAATAGAAAAATAGACACGCCCACCATATGGATAGATTTGCAACTGTGATTGTGACAATACACTACAGAAATTTTAAAACACATTCGATGGCCTTTGTAAGTAATAATTTTAGTTATTATGACTTCGTAAACTACATTTGGAGTTGCACCCATAGGAAATTGCTACTTAGGTCTTTCTGCTTAAGAAACACTAATTTTTACACAGCTGTTTAGGTGTATAAAAGAAATTGACATAAAAATTGGAAAAAACCACTTGAATTTCAATTTATTACGAAAACCGAAAGAACACTTAGATTTCAAATTGTTTCAATTAGAAATAGTTCGAGTAATTTGAACATAAATCTGTAATTTGACATAAGTTATTTTATTTACAACAAAATTGGAATTTATTTTATTGAAAAAATAAATTTAATTGTAAAATGTAATTTCTTTTTTTGATTTTATTACTTTGTATCTATTGCATGTATCCAATAAATACGAATTTTATACAAAATTAGATATCCGATCTAGTATTATACGCATAAATTAAATTAATGATAAAATAAAGTTTTAATAAATTATTAGAAAATATGATTAGAAAAAAAATTTGTTTATTTATATGAATATATAATTGAAAAAAAAAGCGGCATAGGTAGTCCAAATATTTTTCTTAAATTTTTGTTAATTATAGAAACATTAGCGTTCATTAAATTTAAATCAAATTTATGTTTTTATCTTTGTCGTTATTTTTTCACGATAATTAAATTATTTGGATATATTTTTTGTTGCATTAAATAAAAATTCTTTAAAAAATAGTATCTGATTATATTATATATAAGCAATTGTATGATTTTAGGATCTAGGACATTTTAGGATATTTGTTTCTATGCGATTAAATTATAGATTAATCTGTAAATTAAATTAATTTTTTACAGAAAAGACAAATAAAATATTACCTTATTACTATTTACATTAAATTTAAATAACTATTTAATAATTTAGTTGAATAATTGTTACTATAAAGGAAATTTTAATATGTCATCGATTGCCTTAGAATATTTAAAAATATATTTCTAATTTAATAAAGACTGTTTTGGATAATTTCGAAATCCAATTTCAATTTAAATTATGAAAAATATTTACTATACAGATATTCTTAGTTCCAACATAATATACTTGACTATTATATTTTATATATTAATTTCTGAGCGTTTTCTATTTTTATGGTTAAAAAAGCCTTATTTATTGTCTACAAGTTTAGTAATTTTTTTTTAATAATTTAAACGTTAAATTATTTTAACAAATTTTAACAAAGCTATAATTAGTAATTTCATATAATATATATTTATCTATATAAAAATGTGACGTGTTACGTATGTATTACGTGCAATATGAGTAAAAGTGCTTTAATTCCACATAGTAATTCCTTCATGTTTAGGGCAAATATAGTTTCATAATCTTTTTTTATTACGATTCTGTAAATTATTATAAAGAGAAAAAATGATATTAATTATAATTTAACATGCCATAGTATTAAAATGTATTAAATAATCAAATAGTTTAATTTATATTATTAATATACTAACTATGTTTTCATTACTTGTTTTAATATTAATATGTAATATTAATTTTAAAATTATCTATATCAACAATTAAAAACATTTTTATAATACATATTATGTATAAAAGTATGTTGGATAATTATAAACGTTAATTAGGTATGAAGAGAGGTCAATATATCAAAATTTAAACATAAAATAAATATTTTAATAATTAGGAGTGATTATAATAAAAATAAATTATTTGAATTTTATTAAAAAACACGTATTATAGTGTAATTAATTTTTGTTTTTTAATTTTTATCTATTAAAGTTATATCATAAATATAACTATACTATATTATTATTATAGTGAATTTATTAATTAATTTTATACTCTTGAACTTATTTTAAATAAAGAAATAGAATATATAAAGAAAAAGAAGATGAACAATTATTTTTTAATTAATTTTTTTAAATTGTGATGAACACTCTAAAATTAAATATAAAAGAAGTACTGAGACAATGATTCAAAGATATTTGGGAAACTGAAAACTACCAGAGCATTACTGAAAATGAATATGTTTCGCTTGTAAAATGTAATGAAAAATTAACAGAAGTAGAAACTTATATTTGACCACATTTTATATGAAAATAGAAAATTAAAGTATTTAATAATATTAAAAACTTGATGCATAATATTTAATATTAAACGAATATAAAATCATACTTTTAATAGGAAAATTTTGTAAATAAACATAATTAAAGGAGTATATAGAATGTGCATATTAGAGTAGCAGTAAATTAATAATAAAATTATTTTCCATTATTTAATAACTTTACATTTTATCAAATATAGGTAATACAATGTTTTAGTGAAAGTATACTAGGTTTTGTTGTTTATTGTTTATTATTTTATAAATATTATTTTAATTTTATGTTAACGACTATATGTATACAATAAAATAAATAAATTTATTGTACAAAGTCTTATATAAATATATTTACCATTATTATATCAACGCTCTCTCCCTCATTCGTTCTTACTTTCGTTCTCTCTTTCTCTATATTTTGTATATTTCTCTATCTTTTTCTTGCTCACACTTTTACTTTGTACTTTGTGCTTCGCATTTGTTCCTTTTACCTTTAATATGACGTAAATTTTTATATTATATTTTTATAATTCTAAAGAGTGAAATATATACTTCGATATATATAATTTGAATAATTTTTTACCGAAATAAAATTTTATAATACAATCTTATACACATGTATATTAATATTATAAAGTGCTGTTTTTTTTAAATTTAGACTTTTATTTCTTAAATGGTATTAGTGTTATTTTTCAAATATTAGTTTGCAAATAGAGTCGACAAATTTCTTCATTTACTCGTCTAAACATTATTCTCCTGTTACGATTTATATTATATAATACAAATAATAAGATTTAATTACTTTAATTTAGGATAATGTATATGATTGCCATTACATATGATTTGCATTGTAACGCATATTTCGTACATAATATTTTATTTGCGTGTTTTATAAAGCCATTTTCATCGCATTTCATTACAAAATTCATAATAATAGGAAATATAAATATATGTGTAACTGCATTCATCATTTTAATTCACAGCAAAAGGCCTTGAAAGGATCTTTGGTACACTCGATCTACCGCTGCAATTTTATAAGCAATTGTCAATTTTATTAGACCTTTCATTAGACCACATTAACCAATTCTCGGTTAAATTAAGTTATGATACAAAAATAAAATAAAATAATGCCATAAAACTTGATAAAACGTTAGAAATCATTTTATAGTCGTTGAAATGTATATGAATTGCAATGGTATGTACAACCATAAATACTTATTATTATAATAAAAAATATTCAATAATAAATTTAATAGGAAATGATATTATAGCTTTATTAATAAAATACCTATAATAATAATTAGATATAAATAAAAAGCAATACTTTTTAATCGTGATTTCTTTAAAAATTATTTAGCGATAAAAAATTAAAACTTATATATAATATAAATTTAAAATATTGTATTATTAACAAATAGCTTCTATTTTTCATTGAAAAATAAAAAAGTAGGATATGTATAATCCTAATAGTGTACAGCTAAGCAAACATTTATTACACTCTAAATTCTAAGCTATGCCGAATACCTAAAGCGTCTCAAGTCGATCTAGCGAAGTTTGAAAGAAGTGTTGGCACCTGCTATGCATAGGTCCGCGCCTACCCTCCCGCACTCCCACAAA